CCACAGTAATTATCTCTGTGATTGCACAGAGTTTGAAAGCCGCCTCCCCTTTTGTGCCAATGTTGGCAAAGCGAGTGGGTGCCTGGAGGGGGGTGAGCTGGCTTGTGCGCCAGTCTGCATGGCCCGCTCTCTGGCCCTTGTCCGCTGGGCCGACCTCTGACCCATTGGGCACCCTTGTGCCTTGCAGCCCGTGTGCTGTGCCCGGGGAGCACGTCCTGGCCAACGCCTCCTCCGCGCAGGGCCACAACGCCACCCCCTCCCACGACGAGCACAACATCCGCAACTACGAGAACACCACCGTCTTCTTCATCTCCAGCTTCCAGTACCTGATTGTGGCCGTGGCCTTCTCCAAAGGCAGGCCCTTCCGCCAGCCCTCCCACAAGAACTGTACGTGGGGGAGTCCCTGGGGAAATGGGGAGGGGGCAGCAGAGTGGGGAGTGGGCAGCAGGGCTTCCCCTGCTTCCCTGTGTGACGTTGACAGGCCTTGGCCTTTGGGGAGCGTGGGCAGCACGTGTTCCCACCTGGCTCAAGGGGCTTGACTACATGGTCTTTGGGGACCCCTCCAGACGCAGAGGGGCCCCCTGTGCCGCTGTGAAGTGGGCCATTGTAGGGAAGGGGCTCCCAGCGCCCCTTGTGCCAGAGAGTGGGACGTGTCCTTGAGGGGAGAGCTTCAGAACCCCCCCCCCCCCCGCATTTCTCTCACCTGCAGATCTCTTTGTGGTCTCAGTCATTGTCCTGACTGCCGTGGTCCTCCTCATCCTCCTGGACCTGGTGGGCCCCATCAACACTTTCCTGGAGGTAAGGGGGAACCACACTGCTGCTGCTGCTGCTCCTGCACCCTCCCCTCCTCGTGCCTTCCCCACCTTTGCTCCCTTGCCTTTGGGGTGCGCTCTCTTAGGGGGCTCCCCCCCCTGCCCAGAGCAAGCCCACTCCCTTATGGTCAACCCTTCACCACTCCCCTCCACCTTTGAGGCCTGACTTGCCGTGCTTTGGGATGTGTGGGGAGAAGGGGGAAGAGGGGCTGATGTTGGGGTGGGGGTCTCTCTGCCCAGGAGCCCGAAGCCCCCTCCCCTCCAGGTGCAGCAGCCTTCCATGGGCAGAAGGACCTTTTTGTGGGTAAAAGACCCTCATGCAGGCATACAGCAGGCATATTGCTGTTCTTTTGGGGGCCCACTCCCCCCCCCCCAAGTTCTATCCCAGATCAGAAGCCGCTGCAGAAGTCCAGAGAGTGCTAAAGAAGCAGGCACAGACAAAGGAACCTTCCTTACCCCCCCC